AACACTTTTAATGTGAAAAATCAGCAGGAAGTCTTTATTTATTGTCATTAGCTTAACACTGAACAAAACAACAGCAAACTGATTTGTGTTTGTCCGTCCCTGCTCTTTGTCTTACAGGTCAGAGTGGACCTGTTCGCTGTGTCAGGACCTGTCAGACCCCTCAGACCCCTACAGCTCTGACAGACCACGAAGACCTCAGAGTCCCTGTCTCAGTCTGCTGGACCAGAGGGTCAGAGTCCACACGCGCACACACATGCATCCTCTCCAGCAGCCAGCAGGGGGCGACTTAAACCTGCGTCCTCTCTAGCGGCCAGCAGGGGGCGACTTAAACCTGCGTCCTCTCTAGCAGCCAGCAGGGGGCGACTTAAACCTGCGTCCTCTCTAGCGGCCAGCAGGGGGCGACTTAAACCTGCGTCCTCTCTAGCGGCCAGCAGGGGGCGACTTAAACCTGCGTCCTCTCTAGCAGCCAGCAGGGGGCGACTTAAACCTGCGTCCTCTCTAGCGGCCAGCAGGGGGCGACTTAAACCTGCATCCTCTCTAGCAGCCAGCAGGGGGCGACTTAAACCTGCGTCCTCTCTAGCAGCCAGCAGGGGGCGACTTAAACCTGCATCCTCTCTAGCAGCCAGCAGGGGGCGACTTAAACCTGCGTCCTCTCCAGCAGCCAGCAGGGGGCCCCTTAAACCTGCATCCTCTCTAGCGGCCAGCAGGGGGCGACTTAAACCTGCGTCCTCTCCAGCAGCCAGCAGGGGGCCCTTAAACCTGCATCCTCTCTAGCGGCCAGCAGGGGGCGACTTAAACCTGCGTCCTCTCTAGCAGCCAGCAGGGGGCGACTTAAACCTGCGTCCTCTCTAGCGGCCAGCAGGGGGCGACTTAAACCTGCGTCCTCTCTAGCAGCCAGCAGGGGGCGACTTAAACCTGCGTCCTCTCTAGCGGCCAGCAGGGGGCGACTTAAACCTGCGTCCTCTCTAGCAGCCAGCAGGGGGAGACTTAAACCTGCGTTCTCTCTAGCAGCCAGCAGGGGGCGACTTAAACCTGCGTCCTCTCTAGCAGCCAGCAGGGGGCGACTTAAACCTGCGTCCTCTCTAGCAGCCAGCAGGGGGCGACTTAAACCTGCGTCCTCTCTAGCGGCCAGCAGGGGGCGACTTAAACCTGCGTCCTCTCTAGCAGCCAGCAGGGGGCGACTTAAACCTGCGTCCTCTCTAGCAGCCAGCAGGGGGCGACTTAAACCTGCGTCCTCTCCAGCAGCCAGCAGGGGGCGACTTAAACCTGCGTCCTCTCCAGCAGCCAGCAGGGGGCGACTTAAACCTGCGTCCTCTCTAGCAGCCAGCAGGGGGCAACTTAAACCTGCGTCCTCTCTAGCAGCCAGCAGGGGGCAACTTAAACCTGCGTCCTCTCTAGCAGCCAGCAGGGGGCAACTTAAACCTGCGTCCTCTCTAGCAGCCAGCAGGGGGCAACTTAAACCTGCGTCCTCTCTAGCAGCCAGCGGTGGGCGACTTAAACCGTGCGTCCTCTCCAGCTGCCAGCAGGGGGCTACCATGGCGACCTGTCAACAAATGCCAGATCAGCTGGGTCAGATCCAGATTAAAAAGCCTCCTGTACAGACGGCAGCTGTATATTTTAATGTTGTTATATTTAATTTGACCTCTTTGTTATCTCTGTTTAGATCTCTGTGCTTTGCTTGGACGCTGCTATAACTTTATCATCAAACTTTGGTTATAAGCTCCACATGGATGGTGTCCAGTAAAAAGTCTTGGGCCAGATGGATAAAGTCTCTTTACTGAGAATAAAAAGGTTGGGAAAGAACCTTTTTATTCTCAGTAAAATTAGACACCAGTCAGCCGCTCAGAGGCAAACAGTCTTTTGAAAGAGCAGAGTTACGTCTCAGCCGGCCTCAAGACAAACTGAAGGAGAGCAGTGGTGAAGTAAAGACAGCCTGTGGCTCCTCCCTTCTTCAGGCAGTGACCTCACTTCTGCAGGTGTCTCTGTAATTTGCTATGTGGCACCATCTGGTGGCCCCGAGAGGTTCTGCAGCCAGGGGACAAGTTTATTTATCATGAAACAGCACAATGTTTAATGAACAGAAGTTTGTAGTCTCTTCCTGCTGCACACAGATCTGATCACATAACTAACTAAATATCATAACTTATAAAATAGAGCAGTTATTTACAGACATGTGTCCACGTGATTTGCATCTGCGAGACTAAACAGCAGCGACAAGATGAAGCCGTGTTTCATGTTCACGTTAAAGAGTCTGACCTGTGGGAAACACAGAATCAGGGTATCAGTACTCCATGACTTTAAGGCCCTTAGTGTCCAAACGTCTCCAGTACTCACCGCCTCTTTTTTTCTCCCGCACGCCGCCTGTCAGCCTCTCTCAGGCGTGTTCGTCACTGTGACAACTTTAAGACCACACGTCTGACTCTCCATCGCTTCCACCTTCTGAAATCCTTTAACGCTTCACGTCACGTGTCGGCGATCGCTCGCTGCGCTCCGTCCCAGAGCATCCGGATATCAGACGCAGTCCGACATCAGCTGGACGAGCAGCTTCCTGTTTGTTTCTGCAGACTCTTCACTTTAGTGACTCGTTCCGCGTTTTCTTCTTCTTCCCGTCGTCTTTTTGGAGGTTTGAAACTCACCGCTAAAGATGGGTCACTTCCGCCTCCTCCTCCACAGCTGACTGCGGTCGCTGAACTATCTGCCGCCGCCTCCTCTCTCAGCTGCTGAGCTCTCGTCCTTCCTCTGATTGTAACGTGAGGACGACCTGATCAGGACGAGGAGCCGTCTGATACAAGTGTCCAATATTTTTGTACGATTCTTATTTCAAACAACAAAAAGAGAATCGATCACATGTTCATGATAACAATAAAACTGATAATTACCCATCAGCAGTAACTGGTGTGGAGTTAACGCGCAGCGGGAAGCCGACTCTCTAAGCTGCGGTGTGTTTGTGTGTTGCAGAGGTGTGAGAGTCTGCTGCTGCACCTGAAGGTGGAGGGATGCCAACGGCTTTCTGAGGTCAGTTCATCTGCAGCTGCAATAATCCAGTTTATTCTGTTGATTCTGATTCTCTCTTTCTCTGTACTTCTGCACTTTGACACAAACTGTGAACGGGAAACAGACTAACAGCCGTCCAGCCAGCAGCCGCTTTACAGACGTGTGAGCTGGGAAACGGAAAAGTAAAAGGTGGAACGAGATGAAGAAAGCAGCTCTTCACGGGCTCAGACGTTACCGTGGTGCTTCTTTTACTGGAGCACATGAGTCTGCAGCTCAGGGCTGCTGCACAAAACCACCGGCCAAAATAATAAAAATCTGTTAACGGAGATAAAAAGGAATCACGTCAAATACAAACGTAAAGAAGAGGCCACAGTGAACTTTGAAGCAACATGATGTTATTGCTATTAAATGTACTTAAAACAGAACAAAACAGTTTTATAAACTTACAAGATGCTTTTTGATCTTTCAACTGAAACCTCATCAGACTGCTTCTTCTGGCCTCCTGGATCTGACAGGGTCCTGGTTCTGTCAGGGTCCTGGTTCTCATGGTTCTGTCAGGTTCCTGGTTCTGACAGGTTCCTGGTTCTGACAGGTTCTTGGTTCTGACAGAGTCCTGGTTCTGTCGGAGTCCTGGTTCTGTCGGAGTCCTGGTTCTGTCAGGTTCCTGGTTCTGACAGGTGCTGGGTCCTGGTTCTGTCGGGGTCCTGGTTCTGTCAGGGTCCTGGTTCTGACAGAGTCCTGGACAGCAGGACCAACAGAAGCTCTGGCAGCGTGTCAGACTCTGTCTGGACCAGATACCAGCTGAAAGCCAGAAACGGTCCTCGTAGCGCTCTGAAAGCACATGGCAGCGGGATAAAGCTGCTTGTTACCGTCAAACAGAAACTCGCCGATGTAGCTTCAACATGTGGTGTTAATTTCCTGTAAAAGCATCTGCTGCTTCTCACAGGTGCAGATTTGAACGATTAAATGTTTACTTGTGTAAGAGTATTTTCACAGTGTACCGGAGTTCTGTGTGTGCCGCTAGTTTTCCCAGCAGGTGGCGCTCCAGCAGAACCTCCTCCTGACTCTGGTGTTCTTGTGTTTCCAGCTCGGCGTCTGGCCTCAGCTGAAGGAGATGTCGGAGCGCCTGACGCTCCATCGGCTTCCCGCGTATCCGAGCGCCGCAGAGCTCCTCTCAGACATCTGGAGCCTCTTCAACGACGCCTCGCAGGTACGTCGAGCCCACGTTACCCCAGGTGCCCAGAGAGAGAGGCCACACCCACTCCGGACCCCACAGGGCGTCACTCTGATCATGTACAGAACCGTCAGTGTGTTGGGAAATGAAACTGTGAAGCTGCTAAAGCTGCTGGGAAAACCCAGACTGACAGCTGATTGGTTCTCTGACCTGTCACTCAGCCTTTCCTCTGGTGTTTGCAGGACGACGACGCTCTGAACGAACTGCAGGAGAGTTTCCAGAGCAGAGAGATGGAGATCTTCAGCTCAGAGCTTCACCCTTCAGCGCTGACGCCTCCGAGCGGCGAGGGAGAGGACCCCGCAGTCAGGCGTCCGCTCGGTCCGCTGCGCGCCGAGGTCGAGGAGGAGGACTTGAAGGGATCCGAGGTCACGCCGAAGAAGCAGGAAGTGATCACCAGCGAGTCGGAGCTGAAGAAGACGAGGAAGAGGCTGAGAGACTTCCTGGACCTGATGGGAACGTCAGGACCCAAGAGGACAAAGACACGATCACATGTTTAGGATCAGTAACGACCGATCGCAAGCATTCCTTTTGTACACCTCCTGAAGCGCCCGCGCTCTACCTCAGCGCACGCTGGAAGAGTTTTAATAAAGTGTTGAATAAATGTTTGATTTGAACGCTGCCAGAGGCAATAAAGTGTTTTGTCACTGCTTGATCTCTCCAGGAGACCAAACAACACGTAACACCAGAGAATCAACATCTTCAGGACGAAAGCTCCAAACATTCTGTCCGGAACAGAAACTCCTCCTCAGTCCAAAACAGCTGCATCACATCTGATGGAGGACATATTGTACATTACAGAGTTTATTTGTTACCGGTTACCTTAGCCGCTAGCTAGCTGCTGCTAGCTACTCAGCTAGCCGACCTGTTGCTGGAGGCTCGGTGCTCCGGGGGTGTGTTAGTGTTTCCACCTCTAACGTTAGTACAGAAACTTTGGACCGCTGGTTCAGAGCCAGCTGGTAGCAGCAGCAGCTAGCGTTAGCAGCAGCTAGCGTTAGCGTAACTGCCTGCCCCCGAGTCCGTACTGCACGGTCCGGAGTCGAACCGGCGACTTGGGGTACAATAGGCGGACACGCTAAAAGCTGTGAGCTCTGGTGTCGGTCGCCAGTGCGTCTCTGAAGGTGTCGGGGAGAGAGGTTTACTCACTGCGCCGCCTCGCTGTAAATCTGTCCGTCAGGAAACTTCACAAATCGCTAGCCGTGTCTCCATCACCGTCTTTTCAGGCCTATTTTGAAGCGGCGCGTTAGAAAAGGTCGATGGAGACGGCAAACTTGCAAAAAAGTTTTTCCGCTCGCTTGAGGTGTTTTTTGTGGAGAAAGAGAAAAGGCGCTAAACGGGAGATGGAAACACGTTTGTAACTCACGTCTGATCAGCTGTTTCTGCTGTCGGCGTCTCGCCATAATGCGCTGAAGCAGTTTGCCCGCTTGAAACACATTCCTGAGGATCTCTGTTTCTCTAAGATCTTCCGGTTCTGTTTCTGGTTTGAACCCAGACGTCTTGTTTATTGCAGCCGTGTGTAACTGACGTAACGACGCTCGCCGTCGCCTGGTTTCTACGCTCCAAACCAGCTGATGGAAACGCACAGATGTTTTTTCTTTTTTGTGACATTTCAAAAGCTTAAAATTCGCATGACATTCAGAAGGAAACACGTCAGAGCAGCCGTAGGAAAAATATTCCCTTCAGAACGGTAAAAGCAGCTTCTGAGACGCCGAGCGGCCTCCGGCTCCATGAGCTTCTCCGGAACGTGGGCTGCTTCATGTGGGGGATGTAGCGCTTGTTGGTCTTGTGATGTGACGTCTGAAGGAGGAAACGGTGGCGCTCTGTCAGCTACTGATCTACGTTCAGCTGTAAGCAGTTTATTGGTGTCAGTTCGCCAGACGCCCGGCGTCCTTGGGGGGGGCAGAAATAGGTGAAAACTAATATGAAATGATGTTAAACATTATATAAACCATCGTCATGGAGAGTGCTTATACATTTCAAATATAACAATAAGATGAATGATCTCTGTTTTTGGTAGTAAAAGTTAAATATCCCCGTTGACCAAAAAGGAAAGCTCCACATTGAGCGATCACGATGTTGCCTAGTAACCAAATCTGGTTTTCAAAAAAGGAAAGAGAGGGAAGGAGGTCACTGTTAACGTTGAGAGAACTACGCCCAGACTAAAGTGATTACAGCTGTTAACGTTGAGAAAACTACGCCCAGACTAAAGTGATCTACAGCCGTTAACGTTGAGAGAACTACGCCCGGACTAAAGTGATCTACAGCCGTTAACGTTAAGAGAACTACGCCCGGACTAAAGTGATCTACAGCCGTTAACGTTGAGAGAACTACGCCCAGACTAAAGTGATCTACAGCCGTTAACGTTAAGAGAACTACGCCCGGACTAAAGTGATCTACAGCCGTTAACGTTAAGAGAACTACGCCCAGACTAAAGTGATCTACAGCCGTTAACGTTGAGAGAACTACGCCCAGACTAAAGTGATCTACAGCCGTTAACGTTAAGAGAACTACGCCCGGACTAAAGTGATCTACAGCCGTTAACGTTAAGAGAACTACGCCCAGACTAAAGTGATCTACAGCCGTTAACGTTGAGAGAACTACGCCCGGACTAAAGTGATCTACAGCCGTTAACGTTAAGAGAACTACGCCCAGACTAAAGTGATCTACAGCCGTTAACGTTGAGAGAACTACGCCCGGACTAAAGTGATCTACAGCCGTTAACGTTGAGAGAACTACGCCCGGACTAAAGTGATCTACAGCCGTTAACGTTGAGAGAACTACGCCCAGACTAAAGTGATCTACAGCCGTTAACGTTGAGAGAACTACGCCCGGACTAAAGTGATCTACAGCCGTTAACGTTGAGAGAACTACGCCCAGACTAAAGTGATCTACAGCCGTTAACGTTAAGAGAACTACGCCCGGACTAAAGTGATCTACAGCCGTTAACGTTAAGAGAACTACGCCCGGACTAAAGTGATCTACAGCCGTTAACGTTGAGAGAACTACGCCCAGACTAAAGTGATCTACAGCCGTTAACGTTAAGAGAACTACGCCCGGACTAAAGTGATCTACAGCCGTTAACGTTGAGAGAACTACGCCCGGACTAAAGTGATCTACAGCCGTTAACGTTGAGAGAACTACGCCCAGACTAAAGTGATCTACAGCCGTTAACGTTGAGAGAACTACGCCCAGACTAAAGTGAGCTACAGCCGTTAACGTTGAGAGAACTACGCCCGGACTAAAGTGAGCTACAGCCGTTAACGTTGAGAGAACTACGCCCAGACTAAAGTGAGCTACAGCCGTTAACGTTAAGAGAACTACGCCCGGACTAAAGTGAGCTACAGCCGTTAACGTTAAGAGAACTACGCCCGGACTAAAGTGAGCTACAGCCGTTAACGTTGAGAGAACTACGCCCGGACTAAAGTGAGCTACAGCCGTTAACGTTGAGAGAACTACGCCCAGACTAAAGTGATCTACAGCCGTTAACGTTGAGAGAACTACGCCCAGACAACAGCTGGCAAGGGGCCCAAGATTCCTGGAAGAACTCAAGATCCACCAGGGATCCATTGGGATCCATTAGGATAAGAATGCATCCAGACGGAGAGAAAGAGGAGGAGCCCAGTGCATCATGGGAAGTCCCCCGGTAGTCTAGGCCTATAGCGGGTTAACTAAAGGACGGTTCAGGACTCACCTGAGCCAGACACCTGGTGAGGTTTGGTCTCAGCAGGACCGAGGACTTCGTCTGCTCGTGTTGTAAAACGTGTTAAACTGAATGCCTGATGACCTCTGACCCCTGCGGTGATGTCACAGAAGGCCGACATAACCGACGGCGAATCCAAACTGATGCTAATCACTAATAGCATTTCTCGTTTACCATCAGTGTCGATCATGTGATGCTAAATGTTTACGGGTTCTTTGAATGTTTCCACAGTTTAAACACTAAAAACTTTAACGATAGCTTCATGCTAAGCTAACCTCTACAAAGTTCTGTTATTTTTACAAACGCCTCAAGTTTACTTTTATTTTGAAATAAATTATTCACAGTATCAAGAAATTTTCCAAACAGTTATGAAATTTGAATAAAATTAAATCAGTATTTCAAAATATAGAAAAATGGCTTTTCTGACTGAATGAATTAATAAAATAATAATATAATTATATATTGTTATTCATTTATTCACATAGAATTTAATACTTGTTTATTTAATGATAAAGTCGGCAAAAACAGAAAGTTCCTCTCACGTTCAACTGCTTTTATTTTCAGCAAACTCAACGCGTCTAAATATTTGTTTGAACAGAAAAAAACAGAATAAAGTTTCAGACATGTGTCCAACAATGTGGCCCTGAGAAAAGGGAGGTCAAAATCAAAGTACTCTGGTCTGCTGCGGGTCCCGTCTGGTCCAGCGAAGGTGGGTTTGTGCCCAGAGGCTGCTGATCCGGTCTGTTGCGGACCTGCCTTCCTACAGGCCTACAGGCCCGATCCTGGACGTGATCTGCGAGACGATCAGCTGTCCTTCCTGTCTCGGGCCCCGGCCACATCTGCAGTCCTCAGGCCGCCTCGCAGCATCGTGTCTAAGGCGCGTTCATGCAGACGAGCAGAAACCGGGCGTCTTGGTGTTCTTCAGAGTCGGTGCAGAGTTTTATAACTGTGACCTTAACCGGCTGTTGGTGTCTTAACGAATGTTCCGCAGCTGCATGTTCAGTCATTGTTTTTGGTTCATTGAACAAGCATAAAAACCTCGTTTACGAGAAACAGAACTGTGTCCTGAAAATGGAAAATGTTTCTTTATCTTCAATTAAAAATCTAAAACCCAGCATTAAACAGAAGCAGATAAACAAACACTGTTCGTGGTTATCACTCATTTGTCGCTGTGTTTTGTACCTTTTTAAATATAATGTCTTTTATCTTTAAAACTTTGGGATCAGAAACTGTAAAGCTCTGTGGAGTTTTTCCTGCTGTGAGCTGCTCCTGCACAGTGATGCATTGTGGGACAGCGTCCTGTCGGAGCGCGGTCAGTCGGCAGGTGGGAGTGTCGGACAGGAAACACAGAAACACACGTCCGACAGTTTCTCATTCAGACTTCACTGTAAAAATACTCTGTTAGGAGCAGGGGCGCCGTATAGTGGGGGAAACGTTAGAACAGTTCCCAGGGGACCCAAAAAAATAGGTAAAAACTAACAACAAATTATTTATTTATATAAAACATTGAGTATTTTAAATATAATAATAAAATGAATGATCTCTTTGTTTTTACTTGTTTTTGGCAGTAAAAGTTCAAAATCCCCATTAACCAAAAAGTAAACCTCCATATTTTAACGGTCCACCCCCCCCTGTATCTGCATGAAATGGTTTGATCCTGCCTCAGGGTGCAGCACAGATGCAGTCAGTAGATGCTGCAGAAACACAGTGATCACAATGTTGCCTAGTGAACCAAAATCAGGTTCACAAAAAATGAAAGAGAGGAAAGACAAAGGAAAAGACGTCAATCTGTCACCCAGTTTTTCTGCATGAAAGGTGGGCGGCCTTTAGTCTGCGAGTTATATTAACCTGTTGGCTTAACGTCCACAGTGAAATAAGCTACAGACAGGTGTTCAGCCTACATTTCCTCAACATTTAATCAGTGCAGGGAAGAGTTTAGCAAGATATTCATATTAAATCATTGTCCCTGCACCTTTTAGCAGACGAACTAACTGCCCAGAACTGCAGCCTCCCTGTCCCAGTGAAGAAGAGGAGCAGCAGGGGGTTAATGCCAGTTAGCATCATGCCAGGGAGGCTGTGGGGATTTCTCTGGCTCTCAGAACAAAAAAGAAAATGAAATATTTCTTAATGACAGAAATTCAAACACAAATCATTTTCTGGCGTAATGATCCTTATGTAATAAATAGAATAAAACACCTTCCTGTCTGTCCTGGATGCTGGACAGCAGCTTACATGTAAATTACAGACTATATTAAAATAATCCAGTTTGAGACGTTCGTTTAGACTGAATTATGGCCGTTAAATCTATAGATAGTTAATTTTACTATAAAAATACACTGAGACTGTTAAAGATGTTTTAATCTTGCATCAAATAATAAACTGCATCCTGTGTGCAGACTTGCACACAGGATGCAGTTTGTAAAAATCAGCAGCAGTAAATATTGTGCTAGTACTAGTATTGAACTACAAGAAACAAGACAGCTGTGAGCCTTTAATGAGAGTTATTTTATAGCTTTTGATGGGACAGTTAGGTCCTAGAGAAGTGGTGACAACAGCTGTGCAGAGGGGGTCCAATTAGATTTTTTGTCATGCGGCCCAAAGTTTCTGGCCGCTCTGCTGGTTAGGAGTAAAAGTCCTGCATTAAAATGTGACTTTAGTAAAAGTACGTGAGTATAATCAGGTCTTAAAGTATTAAAGCAGTAAACTGTCACAGGTTCTTCTTCCTCCTCAGTAAAGTGCAGCAGGATGTTGAGCTGCAGCTCCTTCTCAGCTGATCAGTTTCAGACTGCAGCTGATGAGTCTTTTCATTCTGGATCAGCCTGCTGATTATTTCCTTCCTTTCCCAAAGAGACGCCTTCAAACATCTCAGTTATTACAATCATTGAGAGGAGAAGCTGGAACATGAATGGATTTTGCATTAAACGATCAAAATATTTGCTGATTACTCTTCAGTCAGTCTAATAATCCTCCAGCTGCACTTTAGAAACTGTTGGAGTTCCATTTTAACCAAACATCAGATTTTAGAAACTCTTCATGTGAGTAAAAATCTGACTTTGTAAAGTAACTGAATCTGTCAGAGAAAAACATTTCCCTCTGAGACGGAGCAGAAAGTACTCAAGTAAAGTACAAACACTTACAGTAAAAGTCCTGAGTTACTGTCAGCAGGGGGCAGCAGCTCGGACTTCCTGCATCAACACACACACTCAACAGCGACCAATCGGACCGAAGAGGAAAACCGCTGACCAACCAGAGGCTGCTGTCTCTGCTCTGTGGCCCCGCCCACGGGGTCTATATAAAGACCCTGTCAGAGCCCAGGAGCTGAACCAGGAACTGAACCAGGAGCTGAACCAGGAGCTGTCACTACCTGCTGTCCAGTGCTTGTGCTGAATCGTGATGGTGGTCCAGGTGAAAGGAGGTGTGGAGGTGATGGAGGGGAACCAGCAGAGCCTGGAGGCCAACATCCTGCTGCTGGGGGCCCACAGCGTCGGGAAGTCCGGTACGAGACCCAGATCTGATTTTTAGTTTAACTTCAATTTTCAGTTTCCTGTCATCGTTATCGTTATTGTTATTGTTATTGTTATTATTATTATTGTTGTTGTTATGAGGTCAATATTGCTGCTTTAAATGATTATTATAAACTGTGTATACACAGTAGTTAGTATTAATAATAATGAGTACAGATAGTGTAAAACAATTGCAGTATTGGACAGAGTACAGAACATATATATGTATTATTATGTACAATTACACGTCTGTCATGCAGCCAGCTGTAAAAGACATTTTCACACTCATATATATATTTTTATTGTATACTTATATGTTATGTACCAACTTCCTAGTAGTATTTCTGTTCCTTTATACTTTGATGTGTGAGCTGATCTCGTAGAGATGATTCAGGTCAGACGTTTAGAAACTGGGACGAACAGTTTTGTTTTGTTTTCAGATTCTATTTTAAGTGAATCAGGTGACTCAGCGATCAGCTGTCTGACCTGCAGGATCATCATGTGATCAGTCTGACTTTAACGAGCCGTCTCTCTGTCTGCAGCGCTCACCGTCAGGTTTCTGACCCGGAGGTTTATCGGAGAGTACGGGGACATCGGTGAGGACGCCGCTCAACGCGATGATGTCACACTGTTTCACGACTCCGTGTTGACGCTGAACTGACGAGTCGTTTTGTCCTTTCAGAGTCCGTTTACAGCCGAGTGGACCGGATCGCCGGTCAGAAGGTCTGCTTCAACATCTGGGACTCTGTGTACTCACAGGTAACGTGTTAGTTTGAAATCAGAAGCTGTTTCTGATTTATATCTGAACGTTTCTGGACGCCGGCAGTCTGAAGAAGCCCAGCCAATCAGCTGAGAGCTTTTCTTTCTTCAACAGTCAGTTTGATCACAGCAGCATCATGGAACTGCAGCCAAATATATATAATATTTATAATAATATCTCCAGATTTTCATGTGAAGTATTCTGAGACTTTATGAGTTTAAATATTTGACTGAATGTGTTTTTGTTTCGTCTTCAGGACGGAGAGCAGAACCCGTCCGTCAGTGTCAAACAGCTGCAGTGGGCTGACGGGATGATCCTGGTCTACAGCATCTGCGACCGCCGCAGCTTCGACGTGGTCCGCCAGCAGCTGCAGCAGATCCGCCGCATCAGGAAGCCGTCGTCCGTCCCCGTCGTCATCGTGGGGAACAAACAGGACCTCCGGCGTCACCGCAGCGTCTCCAGCGAGGAGGGACGGCTCTTCGCTCTGTCCCAGCACTGCGGCTTCTTCGAGGTGTCGGCGGCCGAGACGTACCACGGCGTCCTGCCCGTGTTTCACCGGCTGGTCGACCTCGTCAGAGAGAGCCGAGCGCTGAGGAAGAGCTCGGCCGGCGTCCGAGGGATCGTCCGGAGCGTGTCGGCCGTGTTCGGCAAGAAACGAGCAGAGTAGACGGGAAGGAAAGAACTCGCTGGAGGGATTAAAACCAGAGAAGAAGAGTTTTTACTGCGCCTGACGTCACAGTGACATCAGAGCGATGACGCCTTGTCTGTCGCTTCATGAGAAGAGGTCAAAGGTCAGACGTGTGATGGACAGAAGCAGGTGGAGAAAAGGTTTCCATGGCGAAGTTTGTAAAAGCAAAGTCAAAGACGTGTTTTTGTTCCAGAGCGACGAGAAAACACGTGAGGAGCCTTGGAGGCGAGCTGCCGCCATGGCAACGACTGACATATCTCAGCAGCTGATGGTTCCCTCAGGATGAAGAACTTTTCCTCATCAGGTCAACGCACTTTAGTCAATGACCAAACACCTGCAGAACTGGCGACGTTCCCATCAGCTGCTAATTAGCTAATGTTAGCATGCTAACACGCTAAACCAGAGCTGCGGTCTAGCAGCCGTGGTGACAGCCGGTTGAATCCTCTAAAAGCTGCTTCACTGCTTCCTTTCTCACCTCCTTCAGCGCAGGGAACACTGGCGCTCCTTTATGGATGGAGGGCCAGAACCCGGACTTTGAACCAGGAGACCGGGAGTTCGTGTCCCGTGTGAAACAAAACAACATATAATATTACGTGTTAACTGACCTACGTAGTTATTTTAACCCAAACCATGAGCTCTTCCGAACCTCAATCAGGACCAACCTGCAACGTTTCATGACTTTAATTATGTGCCGTTTCAAAATGCTAGTTTTATTTTGAAAGAGACATAATTTCCCTTGTGCTGTAATATCCTGTGAATAAATACATTCATAATGCAGATGTAGTGTGATGCAAACAGACGTCAGCATGTTGAAACGTATTTTTATTGCCTCAGATGTTTGTGATTTTTCTGATTAAAGTCTGAATGAACAAAGTGAGTCTGAGTCAGTTTTCATACAAACACACTGAAGTGAAGCTGCAGAGAAGCTTTATTTTAAGATGTCAGTCAGCAGCATGTTGGAACAGATGCGCTTTACTTTTTACATGAAGGCTTCGTAGATACAGAGTTACACAAACAGCAGAGAAACAGAGGCCTGGTCCACGCGTACAGAGATTTTTATAAACGGGGTTTTTCCTCCTCGTCTAAATAAAAAGATCACGACGCAAACTCTGACGTCACGAACCCAAAACTCAGTTTCACTGTCTGCACACTTCAAACAGGGTTTCTGCAGATCTTCACCCTGGAAGGAGTTTTCAAAAAGGTCTTCAGTGACCTAAAACACGCTATGTTTTTAGAAATACGTGTAGCCGTGGACAGGGCTGGATTCTGTTGATAAATTCAAATAATAATATATTGTTTAAGGATAAAACTTTCTCACACTCATGTCCGCCTTGAACTGAAAGTCCGTTACGATCAAGTTTCGTTTCAGATAAAGATTTTCAGCCAACAGCACATGAACAGGTCGAGTCGTTTGTTATTCAATCAAATCATTTAATCACAGTCTGTGTTTTCGGAGCTCTCTGCACTGTTGCCGTAGTCGCTGCCGTCACAGTGGGAGCCGTCAGTGTCTCGATTGGCGCTGTCTGCGCATTCATCGTTATCTGCATCATTGCCGCAGTCTGAACTTTCAGTGTTGCCGCGATCAATTCTGTCGCTGTTGTCAGGTTTATCAGTGCAGTCTGCGTTTTTGCCATAGTCGGTGTTGTCGCTATAGTCAGTGGCGTCACCATATTCGCCACAGTCTGCATTGTCACCGCGGTCTGTCTTGTCGGTGTTGTCGCTATAGTCAGTGGCGTCACCATATTCGCCACAGTCTGCATTGTCACCGCGGTCTGCCTTGTCGGTGTTGTCGCTATAGTCAGTGGCGTCACCATATTCGCCACAGTCTGCATTGTCACCGCGGTCTGCCTTGTCGGTGTTGTCGCTATAGTCAGTGGCGTCACCGTATTCGCCACAGTCTGCATTGTCACCGCGGTCTGCCTTGTCGGTGTTGTCGCTATAGTCAGTGGCGTCACCGTATTCGCCACAGTCTGCATTGTCACCGCGGTCTGCCTTGTCTGTGTTGTCGCTATAGTCAGTGGCGTCACCGTATTCGCCACAGTCTGCATTGTCACCGCGGTCTGCCTTGTCGGTGTTGTCGCTATAGTCAGTGGCGTCACCGTATTCGCCACAGTCTGCATTGTCACCGCGGTCTGCCTTGTCGGTGTTGTCGCTATAGTCAGTGGCGTCACCGTATTCGCCACAGTCTGCATTGTCACCACGGTCTGCCTTGTCGGTGTTGTCGCTATAGTCAGTGGCGTCACCGTATTCGCCACAGTCTGCATTGTCACCGCGGTCTGCCTTGTCGGTGTTGTCGCTATAGTCAGTGGCGTCACCGTATTCGCCACAGTCTGCATTGTCACCACGGTCTGCCTTGTCTGTGTTGTCGCTATAGTCAGTGGCGTCACCGTATTCGCCACAATCTGCATTGTCACTGCGGTTTGTGCTGTCGGCACATTCAGCACTGTTGATGTGATCAATGGTGTCAGCATTCTCGCCATTGTTGGCACTGTCGATGTTGTCGCCGTTGTCAGGGGAGCTAGTGCTCAGGTACTCGAGGGCCTTCTGGCTCTGAGAGATAAATTGTTTGAGCGGAGCGAGGAACAGCTCTGTGGCAGACGGCCGGCGGTGGACGACGCCGTTGGAAGGGACAGGCAGGTCCTCCAATTCCAAGGCCAGGGGGTCCTTCAGGCTGGACTGGCTTCCGTTGGGGGGCAGGGGGCTCTGGGGGCTTCCCGAGCCTCGGGCGGTGAGGGAGTAGAGACTCCGACGCCGGCGAGGACGGCCGTCCATCGCCTTCAGGAACAGACTGTTAGCTGAGCTGCGACGAGACGAACTGTCGGCCATGGAGCCATCCTGGCTCAGGAAGTCCTTCACCTCCTGATCAGACGGCTGCTGCAGCTGAAAAACGTTTAGATTTACATTATTTTCAGACTCCTAACTATAAAATATATTAAACAGTAAGTGTGTATGCTTGTCGGACCCGTGGAAGCAGAACACCTGGTACTTTCATTCATTCAACACTAAAATGTTTTGAATGTTTGCTGGAAAAACTCTAAACTAAGCTTTCTGAGAGAGTTTAGCAGGTTTCACTTCATAGTCGGAGTAAAATGAAATGAAATAAAACAATATTCGGCAGGAAGCTGGAAGAATCCAACACATTCTCAATCCCAACTCATCACACAGGGATACTTGGTCAGACCCTTTGCTTTTTTATGCCCTGGGTCACTTTAGCAACGTTTTTTGACATTTAGTGCTCGAAGGTCACGTTAGCAACAGTAAATATGCAATTTACATAACTTAAATAAAAACAATCAATGTTGACTTTTTGTTTCACATCTACCTTTGGCGTTGAAAACTGATGCTGTGGCGCTCCCCAGTGTGTTAAAAACTGACGCTAATGGGTCTTAAGCATGCGTGACGTCTTTGTTGCATGTACGGGATCAAAAAATTTGGCCAGTGCAGATTCATCTGTATGCAGATGATATAGTTTTCTATACAGTGGTCTAAATCCAGATGTTTCTGCTAAAAGGTAGATGGTGAAGCAGAGCCCTGTAGTCAATTAATCAATTGGTTCATTGACAAAGAAATGATCTTTAACTAGTTTAATATTTAAAGGTTCCAGTTTCACAGTCTGTAAAATGAATCTTTCGGATTTGGAAAAAAAAAAAGACATGACAGAGAAATCTGAGAAAATAGAGATTTTATATTTTATGTAAAAAAAACTTGTGTCAACAGAGCTGTTTTTTAACGCTTTTACAAGTAATTTAGAAGAACTTGCTGGTCCAGACCTGTCGGTGGACTCGTGTGATCAGTCTTCCGTTATCCCACACCGCCTCTTTCATTAATGGATTGTATATTTCATTGTTTTAAAGTAATTTAAAATAAAATAAATTGTTAAAATAAACTGACTCTGCACCTCAAATTATAAAATCATTCTAAATGTATTTATAAAGGCTAACAATATCAATTTTGAGGTACTTGTACTTTGAGTAATTCAACTTTTGGTATGTGATGTATATTTTGATGCTAGTACTTTTACTTAAGTAGTATTTTGAATGCAGGACTTGTAACAGAGTAGTCTACACTGTGGTAGTAATACTTCTACGGAAGTAAAATAACTAAGTACTTCTTCCAGCACCGACAAAGAGCAGGTTCCATGTGAGTTTCAGATGTTTCAGGTGTGTCTCAGCTGTGTCTTAATTGTGTCTCAGATGTTTTAGGCGTGTCTCAGATGTTTCAGGTGTGTTTCAGGTGTGTCTATTGTGTTTCATTTGTGTCCTAGATGTTTCAGGTGTGTCTATGGTGTGTCTCAGTTGTTTCAGTTGTGTCTCAGGTGTGTCTCAGTTGTCTAAGTTGTGTCTCAGATGTTTTAGGCGTGTCTCAGATGTTTCAGGCGTGTCTCAGTTGTTTCAGGTGTGTCTCAGGTGTCTCAGTTGTTTCAGGTGTATCAATGATGTCTCAGTTGTGTCTCAGATGTTTTAGGGGTGTCTCAGATGTTTCAGGTGTGTCTCAGGTGTCTCAGTTGTTTCAGGTGTATCAGTGGTGTCTCAGTTGTGTCTCAGATGTTTTAGGCGTGTCTCAGATGTTTCAGGTGTGTCTCAGGTGTCTATGTTGTGTTTCAGATGTTGTAGGCGTGTCTCAGATGTTTCAGTTGTGTCTCAGATGTTTTAGGCATGTCTCAGGTGTGTCTCAGATGTTTCAGGTGTGTCTCAGCTGTGTCTCAGTTGTTTCAGGTGTGTCTCAGCTGTGTCTCAGTTGTGTCTCAGGTGTGTCCATGGTGTTTCAGTTGTGTCTCAGATGTTTCAGGTGTGTCTCAAGGATCTCGGTTATTTCAGGTGTGTCTATGGTGTCTCAGTTGTGTCTCAGATATTTTAGGCGTGTCTCAGTTGTTTCAGGTGTCTCAGTTGTTTCAGGTGTGTCTATGGTGTCTCAGTTGTGTCTCTGATGTTTCAGGTGTGTCTCAAGGATCTCGGTTATTTCAGGTGTGTCTATGGTGTCTCAGTTGTGTCTCAGATGTTTCAGGTGTGTCTATGGTGTCTCAGTTGTGTCTCAGATGTTTCAGGTGTGTCTATGGTGTCTCAGTTGTGTCTCAGATATTTTAGGTGTGTCTCAGTTGTTTCAGGTGTCTCAGTTGTTTCAAGAGTGTCTCAGGGATCTCGGTTATTTCAGGTGTGTCTATGGTGTCTCAGTTGTGTCTCTGATGTTTCAGGTGTGTCTCAGATGTTTCAGGTGTGTCTCAGTTGTGTCTCAGATGTCTCAGTTGTGTCTCAGTTGTGTCTCAGATGTTTCAGGTGTGTCTCAGATGTCTCAGGCGTGTCTCAGTTGTTTCAGGTGTCTCAGGTGTCTCAGTTGTGTCTCAGGTGTGTCTCCGATGTTTCAGGTGTCTCAGGTGTGTTTCAGGTGTGTCTCAGGTGTGTCTCAGTTGTGTCTCAGGTGTGTCTCCGATTTTTCAGCTATGTCAGGTGTCTCCGATGTGTCTCAGGTGTGTCACAGATGTTTCAGGTGTGTCTCAGGTGTGTCTCAGATGTTTCAGGTGTGTCAGGTGTCTCAGTTGTGTCTCAGGTGTGTCTCCGATGTTTCAGCTGTGTCAGGTGTCTCCGATGTGTCTCAGGTGTGTCACAGATGTTTCAGGTGTGTCTCAGATGTCTCAGTTGTATCTCAGGTGTCTCTCAGGTGTGTCTCAGATGTTTCAGGTGTGTCTCAGATGTTTCAGGTGTGTCTCAGCTGTGTCTCAGTTGTGTCTCAGGTGTGTCCATGGTGTTTCAGTTGTGTCTCAGATGTTTCAGGTGTGTCTCAAGGATCTCGGTTATTTCAGGTGTGTCTATGGTGTCTCAGTTGTGTCTCAGATATTTTAGGCGTGTCTCAGTTGTTTCAGGTGTCTCAGTTGTTTCAGGTGTGTCTATGGTGTCTCAGTTGTGTCTCTGATGTTTCAGGTGTGTCTCAAGGATCTCGGTTATTTCAGGTGTGTCTATGGTGTCTCAGTTGTGTCTCAGATGTTTCAGGTGTGTCTATGGTGTCTCAGTTGTGTCTCAGATGTTTCAGGTGTGTCTATGGTGTCTCAGTTGTGTCTCAGATATTTTAGGTGTGTCTCAGTTGTTTCAGGTGTCTCAGTTGTTTCAAGAGTGTCTCAGGGATCTCGGTTATTTCAGGTGTGTCTATGGTGTCTCAGTTGTGTCTCTGATGTTTCAGGTGTGTCTCAGATGTTTCAGGTGTGTCTCAGTTGTGTCTCAGATGTCTCAGTTGTGTCTCAGTTGTGTCTCAGATGTTTCAGGTGTGTCTCAGATGTCTCAGGCGTGTCTCAGTTGTTTCAGGTGTGTCAGGTGTCTCAGTTGTGTCTCAGGTGTGTCTCCGATGTTTCAGGTGTCTCAGGTGTGTCTCAGATGTTTCAGGTGTGTCTCAGGTGTGTCTCAGTTGTGTCTCAGGTGTGTCTCCGATTTTTCAGCTATGTCAGGTGTCTCCGATGTGTCTCAGGTGTGTCACAGATGTTTCAGGTGTGTCTCAGATGTCTCAGTTGTGACTCAGATGTTTCAGGTGTGTCTCAGGTGTGTCTCAGATGTTTCAGGTGTGTCAGGTGTGTCAGGTGTCTCAGTTGTGTCTCAGGTGTGTCTCCGATGTTTCAGCTGTGTCAGGTGTCTCCGATGTGTCTCAGGTGTGTCACAGATGTTTCAGGTGTGTCTCAGATGTCTCAGTTGTATCTCAGGTGTCTCTCAGGTGTGTCTCAGATGTTTCAGGTGTGTCTCAGATGTTTCAGGTGTGTCTCAGGTGTCTCAGTTGTGTCTCAGTTGTGTCTCAGATGTCTCAGTTGTGTCTCAGATGTTTCAGGTGTGTCTCAGGTGTCTCAGATGTGTCTCAGTTGTGTCTCAGATGTCTCAGTTGTGTCTCAGTTGTGTCTCAGATGTTTCAGGTGTGTCTCAGATGTCTCAGGTGTGTCTCAGTTGTGTCTCAGATGTTTCAGGTGTGTCTCAGATGTCTCAGGTGTGTCTCAGATGTTTCAGGTGTGTTTCAGGTGTGTCTCAGATGTTTCAGGTGTCTCAGTTGTGTCTCAGGTGTGTCTCAGATGTTTCAGGTGTCTCAGATGTTTCAGGTGTGTCTCAGATATCTCAGTTGTGTCTCAGGTGTGTCTCAGATGTTTCAGGTGTGTCTCAGGTGTGTCTCATATGTTTCAGGTGTGTCTCAGATGTCTCAGTTGTGTCTCAGGTGTGTCTCAGATGTTTCAGGTGTCTCCGATGTGTCATAGGTGTGTCACAGATGTTTCAGGTGTGTCTCAGATGTCTCAGTTGTGTCTCAGGTGTCTCTCAGTTGTGTCTCAGATGTCTCAGTTGTATCTCAGGTGTGTCTCAGGTGTCTCAGTTGTTTCTCAGTTGTGTCTCAGTTGTCTCTCAGGTGTGTCTCAGATGTTTCAGGTGTGTCTCAGATGTCTCAGGTGTGTCTCAGTTGTGTCTCAGATGTCTCAGGTGTGTCTCAGGTGTGTCTCAGTTGTGTCTCAGGTGTGTCTCAGATGTTTCAGTTGTGTCTCAGATGTCTCAGGTGTGTCTCAGTTGTGTCTCAGATGTTTCAGGTGTGTCAGTGTCTCAGTTGTGTCTCAGATGTTTCAGGTGTGTCTCAGATGTCTCAGGTGTGTCTCAGTTGTGTCTCAGATGTTTCAGGTGTGTCTCAAATGTCTCAGGTGTGTCTCAGATGTTTCAGGTGTGTCAGTGTCTCAGGTGTGTCTCAGATGTTTCAGGTGTGTCTCAGGTGTCTCAGTTGTGTCTCAGTTGTGTCTCAGATGTCTCAGTTGTGTCTCAGATGTTTCAGGTGTGTCTCAGGTGTCTCAGATGTGTCTCAGTTGTGTCTCAGATGTCTCAGTTGTGTCTCAGTTGTGTCTCAGATGTCTCAGGTGTGTCTCAGTTGTGTCTCAGTTGTGTCAGGTGTGTCTCAGATGTCTCAGGTGTGTCTCAGATGTTTCAGGTGTGTCAGTGTCTCAGGTGTGTCTCAGATGTTTCAGGTGTGTTTCAGGTGTGTCTCAGATGTCACAGGTGTGTCTCAGATGTTTCAGGTGTCTCAGTTGTGTCTCAGGTGTGTCTCAGATGTCTCAGGTGTGTCTCAGATGTCTCAGTTGTGTCTCAGGTGTCTCTCAGTTGTGTCTCAGATGTCTCAGTTGTATCTCAGGTGTGTCTCAGGTGTCTCAGTTGTTTCTCAGTTGTGTCTCAGTTGTCTCTCAGGTGTGTCTCAGATGTCTCAGTTGTGTCTCAGATGTTTCAGTTGTGTCTCAGGTGTGCCAGATGTTTCAGGTGTCCCAGATGTGTCTCAGGTGTGTCTCCGATGGTTCAGCTGTGTCAGGTGTCTCCGATGTGTCATAGGGTGTCACAGATGTTTCAGGTGTGTCTCAGATGTCTCAGTTGTGTCTCAGGTGTCTCTCAGTTGTGTCTCAGATGTCTCAGTTGTATCTCAGGTGTGTCTCAGGTGTCTCAGTTGTTTCTCAGTTGTGTCTCAGTTGTCTCTCAGGTGTGTCTCAGATGTCTCAGTTGTGTCTCAGATGTCTCAGTTGTGTCTCAGATGTTTCAGTTGTATCTCAGGTGTGTCCAGTCTCATGTTCTCAGGTGTCTCAGTGTCTCTCAGGTGTGTCTCAGATGTCTCAGTGTGTCTCAGATGTCTCAGGTCTCAGTGTCTCAGTTGTGTCTCAGTGCCTCAGTTGTGTCTCAGGTGTCTCAGATGTCTCAGTGTGTCTCAGTGTGTCTCAGTTGTGTCTCAGTGTCTCAGATGTCTCAGTTGTGTCTCAGGTGTGTCTGTGTCTCAGGTGTCTCTCAGTTGTGTCTCAGATGTCTCAGTTGTATCTCAGGTGTGTCTCAGGTGTCTCAGTTGTTTCTCAGTTGTGTCTCAGTTGTCTCTCAGGTGTGTCTCAGATGTCTCAGTTGTGTCTCAGATGTTTCAGTTGTGTCTCAGGTGTGTCAGATGTTTCAGGTGTCCCAGATGTGTCTCAGGTGTGTCTCAGATGTCTCAGGTGTGTCTCAGGTGTGTCTCAGATGTTTCAGTTGTGTCTCAGATGTTTCAGGTGTGTCTCAGGTGTCTCAGTTGTGTCTCAGATGTCTCAGTTGTGTCTCAGTTGTGTCTCAGATGTCTCAGGTGTATCTCAGATGTTTCAGGTGTGTCTCAGATGTTTCAGGTGTGTCAGTGTCTCAGTTGTGTCTCAGATGTTTCAGGTGTGTCTCAGGTGTCTCAGTTGTTTCTCAGTTGTGTCTCAGATGTCTCAGTTGTGTCTCAGTTGTGTCTCAGATGTTTCAGGTGTGTCTCAGGTGTCTCAGATGTGTCTCAGTTGTGTCTCAGGTGTGTCTCAGATGTTTTAGGTGTCTCAGTTGTGTCTCAGATGTTTCAGGTGTGTCTCAGATGTCTCAGGTGTGTCTCAGGTGTGTCTCAGATGTGTCTCAGTTGTGTCTCAGATGTTTCAGGTGTGTCTCAGATTTCTCAGGTGTGTCTCAGATGTTTCAGGTGTGTCAGTGTCTCAGTTGTGTCTCAGATGTTTCAATTGTGTTTCAGGTGTCTCAGGTGTGTCTCAGATGTGTCTCAGATGTTTCAGGTGTGTCTCAGGTGTCTCAGATGTTTCAGTTGTGTCTCAGGTGTCTCAGATGTGTCTCAGTTGTGTCTCAGGCGACCCGTCCTGTGAGTCTCACCATGCTGTAGAGCGGTGTGGTGTTGATCAGCAGCTGCAGCAGTATCTTGGACAGTTCCTGCAGGTCTCGGAGCAGCTTCTGGATCTGAACCGGCAGCTCTCTGATCTGACGTACGGGCTGCAGCTCAGCCAACATGGCGGCTTGACCTCTGACCCTGTCCAGGGTCAGCTCCCTGAGACTCTCTGCCCGGTACACCAGCACCATCAGGAGGCTCTGCAGGTACTGCAGCAGCTTACCAACCAGCTCCAGGACCTGACCCAGACCCACCTGCAGGGAACAGACAGCATCAGAAGCTCACATACAGCTAGGGCCAGAGCGAGGCCCCTTGAGCTCCCTGAGGTCCCTGAGGTCCCTGGCAGAATCTGATCCTGCATGTGATTCTCAGGAAACTGCCAGTTTTTAGCAGCTTAATGTTGTGATGAGAAAACGCTGAACACTCAGTAAAAAACCCAAAGAACTAACCTGAACTTACAAGAACAGGAAACACCTTCATCGATTAAAGTCACATTTAAATGTCAGTTTCCTTCTCGTGAACAGAACCACTGACTCAACGTCTGCTAAGTAGCTTTGACCATTTCACGCAGTCTAAACCAGCAGGTGGGCTTTTCTGCCGTGTCACGGAAGTAGAGCTGAAAAGCTTTCCATGAGTCTGACCACTTGGAGGACTGACGTTGAAGTGAGTAAGATGGTTTTGTCAGTTAGATTCACAGAAAACAGTTAGTGTTCCCCTGGGGGGTTTAATCTCTCTGATGCTTCAGCTTGATTTAATCTTTACAGCGCCAATTCATAACAGAAGTCATCGCAGGGCGCTTTTCATGTAGAGCAGGTCCAGACCGTATCTTATCTTATCAAAGATCTCAGAGTATGAAATCCGTCCTCACTGCCTAAAAACTTTCTAACTTGTGAAATGACTCCTCGCTGTGCTGTTTGTCAGAGCTCCAGACTGTGAGCAGCTGCAGGAGACTGATCACTGGGAGCTGATTTAAACGTTTTGGCCAAAATGAACAGATAAAATTGTGTGAGAGCATCTAGCGTCTCGTACGTAAACTCCCCCTCACAGTGACGAGGGAAGGCGACCTGATTCTGTCACTCCTCAGATAACATTTATTCATTTCCCTTCCAAACCACTTATAAAGTTAAGCTGCACATCAGGCAATATGTGACACTATTAAAGTCACTGTCTGCCGTCTGTCACACAGCTTTAAATTGCACGTACATGTAATGGTATTATCTGCCCGGTGTGCTTCTTGCAGCCTGATCATGAGATTCAGCCTGTTTATTTATTTTAGCAGATATAATCTAGAAAGCTTAGTTACCTGCACATTTCACTTTTGTCCCTGGAACTGCAAACTGTCAGAGGACTACAGCACTGTGGTTGACCTGAGATCAGCTCTGGCTTTAGTCTGAACTTAACGTCTGAACACAGGGTCGGGACTTTTCATGAGAATCTTATCAGTAGTTTTTGTCAAAGAGGAAGATTTTAAGCCTCACAACAGAATTTAAGATTCATGAACATGGAGGAACAACATGAATCAATCAGAGAGAGAAACATGTGAAACATATCTGATCAGAGATCAGCGTGAGAGCTGCTGTTAGATTCAGGGTCTCGTTGTTGTGGTCAGGTTTCTCTCAGAGAATAGAAACTGAAGCTTCTCCCGGGAAACTCTGCGGACTCTCGGCAGGTATTTGGGTCAGACAGCAGGTGTGACCTCTGACCTCCAAACAGCCAGAACAACACGTGAGGATAGCGGATCTGTCCCAGCACAGTGACGGGCCTAACGAGGCTGCTGATTGGCTCCTGAAACACTGAGTCAGCAGACGGCGGCGACCAGCTGTTCTTAATTATCGTCACAGAACTTTATGCACTTTATGAACGTGATCGTGACTTTAGGTTCTACAGGAGCCAAAAACAGCCAAAGAACAAAGACTCGTTTCAACAGAATTGTTTTGTGAATCCGGTCCGGACCATCGACAAGAGCTCGCTGGTTTCCATCTAATTGAGTCTGAGATTGTGTTTTATAAAGTAAGACAGTTTCATCTCTCCACAGAGCTGCAGCAGCTCGTTACAGCCACAAACAGCAGGTTGTTGTTTTCAGTCGACCTACAGAATCAGCGCAGCAAACGTTTCACAGTGAAGACAACATGAACATTGCATTAACACACAGTGGTGGACAGTAACGAAGTATATTTACTCAAGTACTGTACTTAAGTACAAATTAGAGATACTTGTACTTTACTTGAGTATTTTCTTTCCGTGCCACTTTCTTCTTCTGCTCCGTCTCTGAGGGAGATGTTCTACTTTTTGCTTCACTGCATTTATCTGACAGCTTCAGTTACTTTACAAAGTCAGAGTTTTACCAGCGGTGGATGAAGTATTCAGATCATTTACTTCAGTAAAAGTACTAATACCTTGCTGTAAAAATGCTCTGTTACAAGTAAAAGACCTGCTTTGAAATGTTCCTGCTGTAGTTGCTGAGGTTGAACTGATCAGTTTCAGACTGCAGCTGATGATTCTTTTCATTCTGGATCAATCAGCTGATTATTTCTCCATGAATGGATTGTGAAATGAAAACGGTGAGAAATGTTGTCCCAGTTTCTCAGAGAGACTCCTTCACACTGTTTGTTCTGTCAGTTTAAACCTCAAAATGATTCAAAACACATTAAAATAATCATAATGAAAAAAGAAAAGCAGCAGATCTTCACCTCAAATGTGTTCTGATGTATAATAGTACACCAGGGGACATTTTACATGTAATACTTTAAGTAACATTTTAAACGCTGTACTTTTACTTGTAACAGAGTATTTTTACAGCAAGGTATTAGTACTTTTACTGAAGGATCCGAATGCTTCGTCCACCTCTGGTGACATGATGTTACAACATGAAGAGACACGTCCAGTGTCCAGCAGCCTGGTGAGTTCGTGTTCGAGCACGAGGAGCCTGAACTGTTATCGCTCCATCACTTCAGACGCTTCATGCAGCACGTAGGCAGAGTTCAGCCGTCTGCAGAGGAAACAGATCCGTTTATCTGTAATGGAGCTCATTTTCTCTGAAGTCTGTCTGCTGCCACGTCCACATTCACTGACCAGGAGGCTCAGAGTGTCCACGACACAGATGTTTAGGGCCAGACATCGTTTCCTCGTGCACTCATGACATTTTTGGATAATTTGCTTCCATAAAATGTCAAAACAGAAGACACCAAAACAAACATTTAGGTGTTATTTAACTGCAGTTTGTCTCTGTGTGTCTGCAGATTTCTCTTAAATTCACCAGAAGATCGCATTAGATTCTCCCTCATTTGCATATTTAAACTGAACATTTCAGAAGTCTAAAAAAGTGTTTTGATGTGGGTAATCAACCTGAGAAGCTTGATGATGATCTGTTCACCTGCAGTGTTTTGCTAAATGTTTAGAATTTTACAATATGCACATTAGTTTTTCCTCAAACTCTGAGCCTGAAATCTCCTCTTCAGCAGCTCTGACAGACTCCAGACTCTCCAGATTTATTCCTGACTATATTCTGAAGGTTTTTCCAGACGGGTTTGTTCATATATCATTTACAGCCTGACTAGAGAACATTTTATTCCCCAAAGCAGGTCAGAAATATATGTTTTTAAGCCTGTTACAGTATTTTCAGATTTATGAAAGGATAAAAAGAGATATTTAAAATCCCCTCAGTAAAAACATTTGAGTCTCTTTCTATTTCAGAAAACCTGTAATACAAAAGAATATTGTCTTAATGTGAGTTATCAACTAGGAAAGTTTCTTGCTCATATCCGTTAGTTTAATGTTTTGCCCTGGTCACCTGGAGTTGTTGGACATTCTGTTTCTGTTTCTTTGTGTTCAGTATCTTTCTGTATTTGTCATTTTCACGCAGTTGATTTCTCTCGTCTCGACACTTAACACCCTCCATGCTTCGTCTCTTTCTCTCGTTAATCTTTAGCGTTACCTTCATCGGAGGCCTCACTGACCCTCGACCGACTGTCCATCGCTGCTGTCCTCCATCTTTGTTTGTGAGCAACATTAAACACTGTGTTTGTTAGACTCACAACACATCGCATCAAATCTCAGCACTGAGTGAACACGCTGACACTGATGCTGTTGTTCTGAAGGTCACCTGCTGCAGCTGCAGGTTCAGCTCCAACTCTCCCTTTGGTTCCTCAGAAAACACAACAGGACGACCAGGACTGAACTCAGTCATTTTCTTTTGTGTTGTTCATTTTAAGATGAGCTCAGACTGACTCAAACTGACTCAGACTGATACAGACTGATTCAGACTGGTTCAGACTGATTCAAACTGACTCAGACTGGCTCAGACTGATACAGACTGATTCAGACTGGTTCAGACTGATTCAAACTGACTCAGACTGATTCAGACTGACTCAGACTGACTCAAACTGATTCAGACTGATTCAGACTGGCTCAGACTGACTCAAACTGACTCAGACTGATTCAGACTGGCTCAGACTGACTCAAACTGACTCAGACTGATTCAGACTGGCTCAGACTGACTCAAACTGATTCAGACTGGCTCAGACTGACTCAAACTGACTCAGACTGATTCAGACTGGCTCAGACTGACTCAAACTGATTCAGACTGGTCAGACTGACTCAAACTGATTCAGACTGGTTCAGACTGATCAGACTGACTCAGACTGACTCAGACTGATTCAGACTGGCTCAGACTGACTCAGACTGATTCAGACTGGCTCAGACTGACTCAAACTGATCAGACTGGTTCAGACTGATTCAGACTGGTTCAGACTGATTCAGACTGACTCAGACTGGCTCAGACTGACTCAAACTGATTCAGACTGGCTCAGACTGACTCAAACTGACTCAGACTGATTCAGACTGGCTCAGACTGACTCAAACTGATTCAGACTGGTTCAGACTGACTCAAACTGATTCAGACTGGTTCAGACTGATTCAGACTGACTCAGACTGACTCAGACTGATTCAGACTGGTTCAGACTGACTCAAACTGATTCAGACTGGTTCAGACTGATTCAGACTGATTCAGACTGACTCAGACTGATTCAGACTGATTCAGACTGACTCAGACTGATTCAGACTGACTCAACTGACTCAGACTGACTCAAACTGACTGACACTGACTCAAACTGACTGAAACTGACTCAGACTGACTCAGACTGATTCAGACTGACTCAGACTGACTCAGACTGACTCAGACTGATTCAGACTGATTCAGACTGACTCAGACTGACTCAGACTGATCAGACTGACTCAACTGACTCAGACTGGCTCAAACGTGACGTGACTAAGCCTACCGATCACACAGATCAAGTGAACCAACGATTGAGACAGAAGACAACGATATTAAGGATCAACACTGTTCCTGTACAGCTGGTCGGGCCTCTGTTCATTATTACAGTCCACTAAAAAGCAGAACAGCGGGCTTTATTACATTACATTCAGTAGGAAGTGCTAGCGTTAGCTAACTAACATTACATTAGGAACGATCCACAGCCAAAATTTTTCTGGATTTATTTTAGGTTTTGGAAAGATGCAAGATGCCCCAGGAACAGCGTTTGACCAGAGCCAAAAAAAGCTAGAAAACTTTTTGCATTAGAGTCAATGGAGCGCAGCCACAAGTTTCTGACCTCAGTTGGTGAGAGTCCTGTGCTGTGATTGTAAAGCTGTGTATTCGGGGCGTGGCTTAGTAAAGGGTCAATCACGTTGCCATGTCGGCAGTGTGGAAGCATTTTAAAGTGTCGACGTTTGCAGACGCTGTTCTGCTGAACTGTCTCCAGCACATCCGCTCCATCTGTGGCTGCTTCTTAGTAAGAACCGCTTTGAGTGTTTCTGTCACTCGTCTGTTAGAAAGAGACTAAGCTGGCCGCACATACATTGGAGTGCACACGTATTCAAGCCTTTACGGTAAGTGAAGTGGCCCAGAGCGAGCTGACAGTCAGGTTAGAGACTTTATCCTGTCAGTTTGTCTCTTTACAAAGACAAGTGCTGCAGTATGAGAGTCCTACTGAAGAGAGGCTGTGAAGTCTTCATGTTACGCCGTACGAGAACCACATACAACATTATTTATCAAACTGGGTCGGACTGGATGAATTTGGATGATTGTGGAGAATCTAACTGATTTAACGATGTGCAGCATGTCCATACTGACATATTGATCACACGATTAAACATAATATTTGTATTAACGATCTAAGCAGCTAGAAGCAGCTAAAGCGGCGACCCCGCGGGGTTACAGGTTTATACATCCAAAGAACTTAAAACTATAAAAACCAGACCAGGCGTTCAAATTGAGGAAGGCGTTTATTTGTCAAAATGTGTTCCCACAGCAGGCCAGTAAACGGACAGGCGGCTATTTGGGACTGATTCATAATTCGGATTTATTGAAGTTTTACCTGACCCTCTCAGGCCCCGGACCCCCCACCATAGTCTCGTTACTCTAAGGATGAAAGAATTAGCTGCAATAAATTAGATTAAATTATCAGCTCGCGTCACAATTAACAGCCTAACTTTGAGGTTAACTTTGCTAAGAGGCTGCTGGCTGCTGCTGAGGACAGATCAGACCCAGAGACGTGTGAGTCCGGTCACGTAGCCACACTGTCCTCTGGGAACAGCTGCTTCACATCTGTTTGTCTTCAGATTTTATCACCACTCAAATGACAGAAATGTTCCGAAACACTGAGTTTGTTTTAGAAACAGTTTAAAACATTCTGGGTTCTAACTGAAAGTAAAGGAGCAAGTTATTTAGGAGTTTTTATCAAAAAATACACTTTATGGGCCGAAAGTATGTGGACACTCCTGAGCTAATTCTTTGTGAGGGGCTGTTGTGGTCTTTGTAGGGGAAGTCTTAACGCTCCAGCAGATCATTTTAGACAATAGTTTCTTCCAACAGTTTGTATTCAGCCTTAACTGTTTCTGTTAGGAAGTGTCTCGTGCATAAAGCCGCTCCGTAAGAAATGGTTATCCCAGTTTAACCCTCTTCAACCCCTTTGGGAGGAAGTAGAAGAGATCGTGAGCTGGACACTCTCGTCCATCATCAGAGTCTGCCCTCACAATTTTTTCTTCTGGAATGGGATAAAACAGGGAACCAATACATATTCACGCCTATAGATCCAGCGTGACGTCATAAAAGTCATGTAGGTGTCCCAGTACTTTTGTCCTATATAAAGTACCTCTGCTGCGTCTCTTACCGCCCTCTGCTGCTTTAAACATCAGGGATTTGTCTCTAACTGAAATGAGTGATCTGAGTTTCGTCTCACCGCGTACGCTGCGTCTCCCAGCGTCCTGGCGGCTTTGCAGCTGCTCCCTGACCTTCATTGTGCGGTGATAAAGCAGCAGGCTGATCTCAGCAGGAGGCTGCGGACCCTGGTCAGAGACTGGGCTCATCGTCCTCATCTTCATCCTCGTACTCCTGCACCATCTCTCCCACTCCCGACCTGACGGACGACAGCAGGGACAAAAC